AAATGAATTATACTTTTATCATATTTAGTACACAGCTAATCCGATTTAATATCTTAATTTAAAAAAGCTTTTTTTTTGAAACGTAATATATTAAATCTAGCAAATTATTTCAGTAAAATACATATATATGATTAAATATTTTTTAAATAAAATTAACAATCGCCTATTATTTTTTCTTTTATATATTATGTTTTGCTTTGCTATGCTGCTTAATGTCATGCTCCCTCAAAAAAACACAATCACATATTTTGCAATGAAATGCTAATTTTGTTGAAAAAATAGCTTTATTCATTTTGCATCTTATACATTTCATTGATTCATATTTGCATCTTGTGCAAATATATTGATTCTCATATTTAGCAATTAGGTATGCATTTTGCTCAAAAAAAATACGAAGTAATTTTAAAAAACTGTCGATTTGGTTATTCAAATATTCTTGCATCATTAAATATATGTATCCTAAAATTCACTTAATTTAATAAATTTTAGACAATATTAAATCCTCTTTCAAAAATTACAATTACTAAATTATTTTATTTCAATTGAAATAATTAAATCTCGATCTAAGAGGAGCAGTGTTAACTATTACACTTTCTACAATATAGCAATAACAATGTAGAAAATAAATGCAAAATTCTGGTTAGTAAATTAAATTTACCAATAAAATGATTTAATTATTATTTTGTAGGCTTTCTACTTTTTTTTAATTTGTGAATTGTGGATATAACAGTATTGGATTCTCATATATCTGAGATACCAAATCGAGTGCAACAAAAATCAAATTTATAGTTTAGATTTTTTTGGAAGCTTGAATAAATAGATTACTTATAAAGTATGACAAGATCAATTTTTAAATTCTCAGATAATGATATGATATCAGTATGTCTTAATGGTGTTGATAAAAATAATAAAGAATGGACTGCTTGAGAAATTCAGAAGTATGACATACCAAATTATGAACATCTATTATCCAATATAAATATCATGAAATATATGTATCATGAAAGGCAATTAAGTAGTAAAGAAATTGAATATAGAGTAAATGAATATCAAATCGGACAACCTAAAGGCGCACTCACCATTCTTGATAAAAAAAATAATTTCATAGGATTTATACTATCTAAACCTAAACTTGAAAAAAAAGGCAGATCCGAAATAGTCTATGCATTGTCTCAGAAATATTGGGGCAACAGTATTAGACACTCAGTCTTAAGCAAGATGGTTAATGAGTGGGGCCCAGAAGTACATAGAATTGGCTTAGGAGAAAATTTTGACAAACAAAATAATCAAAGGATTCAAGAAATCTTTCAATTCAATGGCAAAGAATTAGAACAATTTTACACTACAGTCAGGCCTATAAATATCACTTCATAGAGTATCCTTGAGAAAGTTGGTTTTAAACCAGTATAAGCAAAAGTTTCAATTGATTTTGAAAGTAAAGGCTATGATTTATCACCTTTAGACAATTTGCCAAAATATTGTGAAAAACTTGAAGAATTTATTAATAAACTTTATTGTAATGATAACATAGAATCTGGTAAGCTTATATCCAAGAAAATGACAAAAAGTTCACATTTTGTAAAAATGCAGATGGTAGAATTAGATTTCATTATGGAAAAGCTATATAAAAGATAGCTTAAATGAATGTACAATATTACATTCAAATAAAGATAAATACACTTAAAACATGTAATAGTTAGCGCAATAAGATAAGCTTGCTAACAAATTCACATGTAGCTGGTAGATGTTAATAATCACGAGTATATCCAAATATACCAAATATATACTGTACGTATATATTAAAGCACTGAAATGTTAAAAGTATTTTGATTGGTTTATTTATATGTATATTTAAACGTAAGTACTTTCAAAGAAATCATACTTTGACCTTCGAACCCCGGCAAGACATAATTACTTATATTTTTTACGACAATTACAGGTTATAATTAATGTCTGTAATTATTACTTAAACTGGAGGTCATCTAAAGCCAGGTTCGTTTATGTGACTTACAACCAATCAAGTTATAAATTTTGATTTACCTGGATCAGCCCGATGAGACAAAAACAAAAAAAAAAGCGAAAAACGTAAAAAATACGAGAAACGAGTGTCTAAACCTACCTCGGGGCACTAATAAAAAATGTCGGG